AGAATATTAATAAAGGTAATATAAGATGTAAATTTGTGTTGCAGTTTATTATTTAAAAAGGATATAAATATGTTGTTTATTGTTTTGTCTTGTGCGTGTACGTTGGTTGAATTTTTATTAATGCACATTACACACAACAGTAGAAAGCATAAGTTTGGTGAACCGGGGGCGGCGCGGGAATAATGCGTGCTGGCGACGCGGCGAGTACGCAAATCGCGCGCGGTGAATTTACATACAAATTCAATAAAAGTCGCATTTCCTTCTTTTATTGCGCTCATTGCACTCGGCGAATGAACCGCGTACACGCCACGCACAATATTATACTTACCAATGTGTCCTAAACAACATTTGGATTTCTAAAAGATTTTTTTTTCAATACCTGCAAGTTAAATGGACTTCACTTACAAGTTATTTTACTTAAATAATGTAACTTTTCAGTTATTGCTACTGATTTAGCAATATTAGTAATTTTCACTTGACATTTTTGCAATTTTTGTGAATAGTGATGTCATTTGAACTTTGAGATTAAAAGATGTCGTAATTTCTTGCCGAATTCAGCCGGAATCGTGTCCTGAATTGAATGAAACATTTGAAATCTGCGAGTGTACGAAGTTGGGCAACTCGTATAAATATGCCGGCCTCCCTCATGGCCTACTGAAAATGAAGTAGTTTTACGTGCACCAGAGTCACCCTTCGTCCCGAGCCACACTTTACGCCCCTTCCACTCATTCACCCCTTTACCGACGACTATGACCAGACATGACTATAGCCGATTCTAGTAGTCATAGCACGAGGTTCGCCGATCATAATTAGAGAAAAGTGGATTCGCCTCGTGGGAAATGAAAAAATTATACGAAATTATACGTGCTAATGCGAGGAGGACACTTTTACAACGCCCAGGTAATTACTCGCAGCGCGCCCGATGCAAAATTAAATTTTATTTCTTCATTTTCAGCGCGCCGCGTTTCGTTTCGTGCGATTGCAATATCAACGGTAATGAGTGAAGCGTGCTCGGCGCCAGAAATCAAGAACTTGACGAGGAAAGCGCAATAAACATGAAGCAAAGGCGCTGGCTAGGAACAAAGCGTGCACTTCAGTACGACAGTTTTAAATTAGTTTTAATTAGTTTCTTATTGCGTTGGATAGTCGGTCGATTTAAAACAATAATATCGCTGAGTGCACACATTAAACCGTCCGTTATTCATGTGTTCGTGTCTTATTAACTATTAATCTAGCCCAAAACACGAATAATTCATGGATATTTAACATTTATGCTTGGGTGTTTAATATAATAAAAATATGAAGCTCATTAATAACTTGACATGTACTACATGTACATTTTTATTATAAGCTATAATTTCTTATTCGTGCAGGAAAATGTTTACACGGAAACATAATTAGTTTTAATTAAATTTGTCATAACATGTTTCTGGCCGCAAGACACGAAGAGCAATCATCAACAATGACGTTTACATGGTGTTAACATCAATTTAGTTCACCTCAACGTGTTTGTATAATGGCAAAATGTAATTAAGTAAATGTTTAAAACTTTAACAATTTCCAGACTTATATTTCAACATGTTCTCTTCTCTAGAGGTAGTTATTTAAATGTGATGTACGACATGCCGAGTTTTCCTAAGCGTAGATCTCTCCTTCAAGTGGTAAATCCACCCGTTCGCAGATAGAAAAGTAAAATAAAGCAAAACTAACTTAGGCGTAACCTTTGTCTGATCTTGGAAGCTTCACGAGTCGAGGATCCACGTCCAGATCCACATCCACCTCCACCTCCACGTTCAGATCGAGGTGGAGATTCCAATTCACGTTGTTTCTTTCGCGCAGCGTTTCCCACGTTCGCGTTCGTCGAGTCGAAAGTTATATTGGCCGATTGTAATGTGTTTATATCGAAAGTTAAATCTTTTAAGTTTTACCCAAACTATTTTGCAGCGTTTAGCCAAGTCTAACTTCAACTTTAGTTTCAAACCCACGAGTAGATCCAGAAATCTATGCCCAGCTTCTGTGAGGTGAGGAGGTCGAACGAGGGATGAAGGGATGATAGGGTCGTGGGCAGTCGAGTGTGTGCGCTGGTTCTACTTCTCTTAAACCCCACCGCGTCTTGGAATAGTCTTGGAGTTCGCTCCAGTTGTATCAGAACGAAACAAGTTTTTGACGGCGAAATTGATGAAGGTGATTAGGGGCATCGAATTGCTTTAAAGTTTAAACTACTCTCGGAGCGCTTTAGATTTTTCAAACCAGATTGCCGCAGGCGATTTGGAAAATAAATTACTAACTACGTAGGAAAAACTATGCTTAAATATAACGATATAGAAAAAAACTACATAATAATGAACACATTTTAAACATCTTGATAGAATGAGGTCAACAAGTAATTTGTAATTTTTTTTGGTTCTCATTGATTTGTTCTGCACCACGAGAGACTTGAAAGCAAAAACATCCCTCGTTTTTATGCACATGCGCTCAATGCAATACAAAACCAACCCTTTTTTGAAACTCCCCTCTTCACTCCACTTTCTTATTGCTTATTTATTCTATCTTTGTTTCCACAACGCTGTTCCTTTCGTATTGCATAGTTTGCATCTATGGTAATACTTTTTTTAAATTCACTAAACACTTTTCTCTCTCATTTGTCATGCTCTCATGCACAGTGCACACACCGAGGGTTGCGCAAGTACTCGTGGGAGGGTGCAACGTATCCCTTGGTCGACTGAATACAATGCACCATGCCGAATAGTAAATACAACTTGTGCTATATTCACCACCATAGTTTTAAATTCAATATGCAAACTTTTAAAGCAGTCAAAATATGCGTGTATGAATCGAGTGCAGTTCGAATTTGCTTCAAGAGTTGCTAGATAATGGTAAGAAATTGTGCATGGGATACACTGTGGGAAACACCATGTATTAAACAGAAGAGGGAGAAGTGGAAGACCAGAAAGAACTCGAATGTTGATCGGGATGTGTAAGAAATAAAAAAAGAGGGTGTATTGATGTGTTCGGTCGCTGAACTGTGTTCAACTATCGGGGTGACAGGACAAATGCGTGTCATCCACGTGTTTCAGATTGAAACAAAAAAATTATTTAAAAATAAAATAATTTTATATAGAAAAGAATTGCAACTTTAAAATTATACTCTTATATTTATTTTTAAAAATGTGAAATGACAAATGTTTTTCATTTTCACTAGGTATTATTTTGATATGTTGAGGATATTTCAAATATAGCTCCAAAAAACATATTTGTGTTTCTTTGCATGTATTTCTTCCTGTGTAGCTGACAACAAAGTCTTCGCAGACAAAGAGTCCATCGCTCCCGGAGTCCCGGAGTCCGAATAAAGCCCGCGTGCACATTGCAGTCGGGATCGCCCGCGAGGGATAGGGAGTTACGTGCATGAGTCAGCTGTATGAGCTTTGAGCGCGCCTTGCGAGGGGTCCTACCCTACACCTCTTTATTGGGTAAGGGTGGCGCGCTCCGAGGATACCCTCCTGCACAAAACGCGCCCGACGCCGATATGACATCAGTGTTGGTTTAGTGTTGTGGAAGTGCAGTACTGTGGTCGTTAGTTTGTAAGGCGCAAAAAATTCACTAAATTCTACGTGCAATAGCAACAAATTGTGCCCATAGAAGCCAAAGAACTCTACACTCAGTATACCTGTGAGTTTTGTGTACCTAGGAATTGTTTTCAACTGTGTATCGTGCTAAATGCAACCAGTGGAAGAAGGAAACCACCGAAAAGTGTTCAAAATCAAAGAGTAACTGGAACCTGAACGTCAACTTCTGGATGAAAGTCACTCTTGGTTGTCTTAATTTTGGTATAGTGTGTGTTTACGTCTAAGGAGTATTTTTGTCTGTGTATTGGATTGTGTTCCGAACGATAAACTTCGTCAAAATAGTGTTTGCGCGTTCAGAAAGCACGTTTTCTCTAGCTGGACCCCATCTTGGCCGAGTAAATTAAATGGACCGGGGTGCTCGTGTTGCTTAGCGTCCACGTTGTGCGTGCGTCTGGCGGTGGCGTGTGCGTCGCGTCTGGTTGTGCGAATCGATAACGTGCGTGCGAGCTGCACCGACTGCCTGCCTTCCCGACAATCCGACGCGAGATATTTACGACCAGTGGTCGTGCTAGCACTTGGAGTGTTTCAATAGCTAATTACGATGCTCATTCCGACTTCACCGCCGATGATTTGCACGCCAAACGGACCACCAACGGGCAATCGGGATGTCATCAAACTTTTTGTTGGGCAGATCCCGAGGCATCTAGAAGAGGATGATCTAAGACCCATGTTTGAGGAGTTTGGAAAAATCTATGAGTTTACTGTGTTGAAGGATAAATATACGGGAATGCATAAAGGTGAGAGATTTTACAACTTTTCTTGTTTGTAGGGATGTATTGTTTGATTTGGGAACGTGACATGTGGTTAGGTGAGTTTTTGAGGTCAAGCGTTTGCCTGAAATTATGCAAATGAACGGGTGCACGTGCAATTTGGTGAAGGGAGTCCACATGTGTGCGTGATTTGATGAAGAAAAAGCCTTCAAATTCATTACACTTTTTATTGTTAAACTTCTGGACCCCATGCGAAACATGCGAAACTTTCTCTCGGACCGCACGAAAAGTAATTACAGCGATTCCACAGTCTGGTCCCTAGTTCGTATGTGCAGGAAAAACCAGCATCAACAAAAGTTTCCACGCTCGGCCGTTGTTATCTCCCTAGTCGGTCACACCGCTGAAAAAGTTTATTTTTGCGTGCTGGTTTTTCTGGTCTGGTCCGGTGTGTTGTTTGTCGAATTTTGGGTTGATGTTGCGGATGGTTATGGGAATCGGCCGGCGTGCGCGCCGCGGCTGATTTATGAAGTGAACGGTGAGAGCGCGCGCGAGGCGGGCGCCAGGTGCGTCGCGGCGCAGGCGCTGCGGCGGGGGCAGCCGGCGGGCGTCCTCGTGGCCGACGCGCGCGCGATAGTAGACGCCGCTCTCTCATCCGACGCTCGCCTCGCCGCCGGAGCCCTCAGTGCGCTGCTGCTGTGGCACGAAGCGGTGCAGACTGACCCTGATCTCGCGAGAGAGGCCCATCGCGTTTCGGACGGACAGACGGCGACCACCCCCGTCGCCTGGACGCCAGCCGCCTTCACGCCGCACACACAGCTCGCGCGTCGCGTGCCACGTTGTTTCTCCCAGTGCCTGCTCGTTGTTATTCGTCTAATCGCTGACTGATCGACAAAACCCAAAACACACGTTACCGACGAAGACTGACCGCTTCTAACCAGTTAACCAGTTTCAAATCCGAAAGAGTTTCGTCAACAGACACGCGCACCACTCGCAGAAAACTGTTGCTCTTTATCGTGTGCGCTTGGTGTTGTTGCTAAACAGCTTGTTGTTAAAGCGTTCCTCATACTTCTGGATACGAACGAGTGCGTGCGACTTGGAAAGCAAAGAAATTTCGATAGTGCAAACATTCCGGGAGATTGCGCCCACCGAAATCAGCGTCACGAGTGGTTGTGCTGACGAGCCGTACGAGTAGAGTGTTGTTGATTTTCCCCTTTTCGAGGGCAGTTTTTGAGTGGTGCACGATCGATGCTGATGTCTCGCTTCGACGTCGACCGGAACGTGTAAGACGACGTGTGCAACGTGCCAGCCACCTCCAAGAGGCTCACAATTGCCGCCCCCATTAACGTGGTACTTAATAAACGAAACAACAGGTAAGAAAATACAGACCACATATGTCTCTCTCATCAAACTAGCCAAATTTGAATGTTCCAAATTTTCTACGTCTCTGAGAAGCATTGATGAGTCATAGGATGATATAAGAAAATTCCTTCAGAGCAAGAGTCACTTATAAATAACTGGCATGACATAATTAATAGAAATTCCAACAGAGCATATTCTGAAATTCATCTTCACAAATATCTTCATGCCAGGCGACATTCTGCTGGCAACGAATATGCGTTTCCAATAAGGCAGTAACCTTTCAATAGCCGCACCACGCTGTTCTCGGTTGGATGTGCTTAAGTGCGGTCGTTTTCTCGTCCCATTCGCCTACAATAAGACGGCCTGCGCCTGCCTTGCGCGCCCAATATGACCGGAGACGATTTTATTATTGCGTCCTTTTCGCCGCCCCAACCACGCATTGCCACACATTTGCCGCACATCGCCACGCATCTGCACTGCAGACAACCGATTGTCACATTTATTTCTGCAACTTTATTGAAAACCAACGGAGACCAGCGTTCTCCTACCAAATACTGCAGATGATAGGAACTTGACCCAACACAAAGAGGCTGAGTTGCTCAATCAATAGTAGCAGCCATATGTGACATAATTGAACTGAAGGAAAGAATTTGTTTTTGTTCATTTGGAGAAAATTTAATAATTTCAGTAAAACAAATTAAAATAAAATCAACGTATAACATTGACAGTTTTGCTGCCATCCAGTCAACGACTCTTACACTTATACAATAGTTAATTAAAATGTTTTTGAGCGCATGTATACGGCGGTACAATGGGTCTGAAGATGGCCCCGAGGGACTGCCGGGGTTCGTTAGGCGTCCGCATGCTTGGCGAGTTCAAACCGGCGCGCTCGTTCTTGTCTCGAACTTGCTCGCCGGCCAAAGTCTGGTCTAGAAATTCGCTCCGAAAGTCATATGGGAAAGGTTTTACGCCACATGCGGAACGGGCATTTGCATCGAGCGCGTCGAAAGTCGAGCACGGACTTCCCTCGAGGACGTTCCGCTCCGTATGATAATCTGGTCAGGCTAGTTGCAGATCTAATTTCATTAATTAGCTCGGGGGTAAGGCGGCGAGAACGCGGTGCTTATCTACGCCCCGCAGCGCTGTGCTTCGTCGAAAGACAATGAAAAGTAACTTTGCGCTGAAAAATCCGCCTTTGTGGTGTGCTCATAGATAATTTCGGCAACAGAACCATCCCGCCTTCTTCCACTGGGAATGACAAAGCGGGTAGAAAAAATGCGGGAAGGTTGTAAGGGAGGGAATCGCGGAAAATAAATGCTACCCAAGAGTCACCCTCGGAGTTGCTTTTGTGCGAGATGAAAAAATTGCGTTTAATTGTATAATTCTTAGTTTAAGACTAAGAATTGGAGAAAAAACTGGAACTGTTGGGACCGGAGTTCGAGTGGAATGGGCGATGAGACGATGCGATAAACTCCATTTCTTTTTTTGGTTTCCTCTCGTCTTCAAGCACATCAGAGTGTTAGTAGTCACTGGAAATTTTTTCAGTTTCCACTTTGCAGTTTCTACTTGCTGTGGGATTCTCTGTCTTGAAAAGCTCTTCATCTTCGCGTGCGCTTCTCGTCGTTTCATCCTTGCTTTTCACTGGAGCTTTTCATTCCGTTTTTCACTCCTCGTCGGTTGAATATTTCATTCTAAAGTGCTATAGATAGGGATTTAATTAAAGCTACATAGGCCACTCGAGGAATCGGCAGAATTCTGCAGGTGCTATTATATTGTCCTCTCCCATTAAGGGAGAGAGTCCTTGCCTGGGGTACGAGAATGCCGACGACGCAAAGTTCAATATACCTAGTCGACGACGTGGTGCTTGGCGGTGGAAGAGAATCGTGAATGTGTGCCAAGTTAGTTGTATAGAATCTACCACTATCTAAAGGTGACCTCGAAGGTTCTTCTTAGAGGTATGAAATTCTGAACAACGTGTTCCAAAGCTGGGCAAAGTGAAAGTTTCACAGAACGTAATTTTGGAATTAAAGTTTAATTCAAGAAACGCAAAAGATCAATAATTTAATAAAAAGAATTTATATTACATTAATTATTTTTTTACAGATTACTTTATGGTTTCTAAGGCGTTGGTAATTTGCTAATTTTTAATGATTATTGAAAACTGCACTTAAGAAATAATTAGTGCGTTTATGCTCTAATATTCAGCGACAATATTAATAATTGCAAGCGTGTACACGTGTTATTTTTATTCTGTTGCGGTTGGCATTTTCACTGGCATTGTCGCACGTTTATTTCAGCGATTACAAGCTGAGATAACGCTCAATTTCCAACGTTCTATTTTCACCTATTACAATGTAAAATTTAATTTGGCATACAGGGTAAATTTTAATTACATTTATGTATATGAAAATTTAAAACGTTTGCCTCTTGTGTTGTACTGTAACAAGTCGTAGGCAAAATGGAATTCTTGAAATTAGTTTAACCGCGGTCCCCAGGGCGCGCAGCGTCAGCATAAATTATATCAGGCCGTATACAAATTAATTGATATTAATCGGGCGCGGTGTATAATTATAATTTCTGTTGGTAGGGTATCTTAAGGGTTGGCCTAGCTTGTGCTTGATTGCGACGATATAAATTTCATAAATTTTACACGTACACAAACCCACTATATCAGAATTTACAACAATCGCGTAATGCGTCAAGTGTAAAACGCAGGCATGCCGAAATTTCCCAAATGTGTCTACTCGTAGACTCATAAATTGCCGATTCGTAAACCTAAACGCATTATTGTTGAATGAAATCACCAAACATGCAAGAGGGCATTATTCATTTCGCGAGCAACAGTCAACTTAGTCCTTCCTTCGGTTGTGGCTTCACGTTTGGGTTTTGGATTCTACGGGTCCTTGGAGATGGGGATTCAATTTATGCGCGCCGCGCGCGTTTGTTTAAGCATTTTATAATACATATCTGACTTTATTACTTCTCGCGCTCGCACGGCGCGTTTGTGGTGGAGTCGCCGGGCGCATGCACACTCTCAGCTGCGTTGGCGGCGAGAAGTAGTGTGTAGCCACTCTAGTGTGACCGCAATATGTAGCGAGCAAGGGAGGCAACAATAACGCCTCATATTTCAAATGTGATTTACAACTGACAAGATTTATTTGCATGCTGGGAAAGGCCTAGCGGAACAAGGGAAAACTGAGGAAAACCTCGAGTGGAAAGTGTGGCCGAGAAATGCGGTTTACAAAAATGGGTTATTCAATAATACATAATATTAATAAATTAAAATATTATTTTAAAATGTATATAAGTATTACATATATCTAATAATTATAACTAAATCTTTACATGAACACAATTTTTAAAACCTGTTGAACTTTTGGTTGAACTTTTCCTGTTCTTTCTTTGGCATGGTTTTTATATTATTTCCTGTTTATCATGACTTTGTGACATAGATTGTTTTTGGGTGAATTCAATTTTTAACTGGGTCGTATATAATGCACGAGGTTTATATCTTAATTTCTGGCGTTAAAAGTTTTTCACGCGCATTGCGCTCGTTTTCCTTTACAATTTTTTTGGTTCTGTTTTCACTTTTCATACCAAGCGTTTGGCACGGTTAGCTTTGAAAGCCATTCTTTCCGTGAATGCACACGCGTCGTGACGATTTATATCAAGCGTGGTAACATTGGAACCTTCTGAAAAGACTCAAGTACAAGAGCAGAATGAATGGAACATATGGATTAGAAATGAAAACACATGCACAAACAAGTAATTCAAAAATTTTATTTTAAGAATTGAACAAATCAGTGAATTTAATTAAGCTAATTTATTTGTATATTGTTTTTCATTATAAAATTATACCAATAACCTCATATTGCATAATGCAATTGCATAAATTAACAAACAAATGCAATCGATACAATTAAACGTACACAATGATGCATGATGATTGTAATTACATTTTAAAAGTATGATAATTAGCAAATAGTTATGTGCAGGCACAGGTCGTAATGTCAGCCGCGCGAAGAACAGCTGAAACTGTTGAATGTTATTGAAAGCGCTCGAGAAGGGAGTTGCACTCGTCGGCACGCACGCAATTTCCAATTGGCATGGATAATTTAGTGAGTTCATTAGCTAATTGTTATAATAGTAGTAGCGCCATTCCAATGATCATCGCATGCGTCCGAGAGATAGATCAAAACGCACCTGTAAAATTCGTTTATTGAAGTAATAAACATTTCACAAGCTACAATTCAATAAGAAATATTTCATTCATAATTATATTAGTAATGTTTAATTATAAAGAGAAGTATATTATTTCTAGGGGGATGGAATTACATGGAGTGCAGATTTGAAATTATATATTTTCTAACATAAAATTGCCCCTTGATGACAATTATTATTAGATTTAAATAAAGATCAAATAAAAAGTAGTACATGAACTTTTGAATAATTTATCAGCTTTACTTTGTCATTAAGTTGATATCAGTAGCTATATTTGATTAGCTATTGTCAGTACGTGGGAATATAATTAAATATTCCGATCAAAGTCATCACCGTCTGTTATTATTTCCTGCACTGCCTGATTTAATAGTGTGGTATTTCCATATGGAACAATGCCAAGCATTTTACAAACTCATTTTGTCTGCCTACAACAACCGTAAATAAATTTATAAATATCTTAACGATTTTAAACATAAAACACCAAAAATTATTCTATTTTTGTATATATTTTGCATTAAAAGAATAAGAGAAGTTTTTATTGTTTTGCATCATGTTTATTAAGTTGTTTTGTCGTCGCTTGATGATATTTAACATATTCGAAAATCGCATGTGCATGTCGTCTAATAAATACAAATGTAAGTTAACAGCAACAAATTGGGCTCTCGTGAGGTGCGCACGAACAGGTGCGGGTCGCGCGTATCGCCGAGAAATATCAAAACGCGACGAACTTTATAGATTACTTTTGTTCACAATGTTTCACAACGTGTTCGCTCGCAGTACGCGTTGAAGT